TGTGTGTGTGTGTGTGTGTGTGTGTGTGTGTGTGTGTGTGTGTGTGTGTGTGTATTGACCGTAAGCAGAACATAATGTGATGTGAGCGCTGATATGAAAACACTCAACTGGAGCGCAATGAAATAACAGCAAAACAAGAAACACTGACAAAACCAAATTAAGTCTCTGTGTTTGCTGTGATGGATTATGTAGCTCAGGCAATTTTCAGTCTGCAGAAGTTTTCTGTAGTTTTCTTTTGTAAAGAAGGAAAACAAAACCTATGTAACAATGCTGACTGAAGACACCAGCACAGATATTATAAGGGCAGATCAACCATTTTGAAAGATGGAAACTTATAAAAGAGAGGTCTTATACAGCACAATACAGATATTGTTCTGTGTGCACTTCAATAAATTGTATTTTTCCCAGTGGAACTGCTGGATATTGTTATATTTTAAAAAAAAAAGAAAAAGAAAGCACTCTGATAGCATGCCACTTGCAGCAAGATCATTTAAATATCCTCTCCTTCCTGGGTACTGATGGACAGTAAAAATCAAAACTGCACTCACACGTTCAGTTCCACTTAATTTCAGCCTGGAAAGAGACTTCATTCTGCGACGGGAGATTTCGCTGTGAATAAAAGAGACAAAAAAGTGTCAATACACTGAGCTTCAGAAGTGAGCCGTGGGCCTGCACGCAAGATGTGGCTAGACTTTTAAAAAATATTTCCATCAAGGCACTTTAGGCAGTAAAATAATTACATCAACATTAATATGTATCACAGTGCAAATTTTTGACACATTCTCACACAGTCCCAGATGCAGATTTGCTCTCTCTCAATTCGCTCTACATCATCCGTCTAATGCTCCTTCAGGAATATTAAGAAATCAGAAAATAACAAAATACAGTGAAATTTATCTTTAAGCTTTAATAAATAGCATAAAAACATATTTATTCACCTTTACTCATGACCGGTACGTGGCCACACAAAAAGCTCACTTTGTGCGCTAACATTAAGAGAAATCGTCGCATGAAAATCTTTTGTGAATCAAAGTTTTATTTATACCATTCAAATTCTTTTTAAAATTTTGTTTTAGTTGACAGATTTCTTCTTTAGAGACAAAGTGATCTTTGTGAACTTAGAGTCACCCTTGTACTTCAGTGTAATGCTTTTACTTAACTCTGTTTTACTGAAGTGGGAGTAGAAACCTCAGCCATACGGTCATGTGAAAAAGAAAGCATGTCTAAAAAAGCATATCTTTCATTTCTAAGGTTTCACATGTCAGGACATAATAAAAAATAATTAGATCCTTTGCAGAAGAATGATCTTGTTCATTGTGGAATAATGGACGTAAAATTCTTTGGAAATGGCCTTAAAGCTCTTCCCAGATTGATGGGCAGCAACAGTTGCTTCTTTAACATCATTGCCGATGTCTGTCCTGCTTTGCATCAGGTTAACACACACACGAGAATGCTGCAGATGAAACGTGCATTTATAGAGGTGGTCACACTTTCTGATCATCAGTTCATCAGGTGCATCTGATTACCAGCAGCTGACGGCTATTCACCCTTTTAATTCCCAGGGAAGCTTAAAACCAAAGTGTACACCTCAACCCAATTGAAATGCTGTGACGGGACAAAGAACAAAATTGTTCCACAAAAAGTCCTAGAGAAAACAAATGGTGCTAAAGATGGTCTTAGTTTTTCACACACTCCTGCATTTTGGCATCTGCATTGATTTTTGTTAAATGAATACAGTTTAAAATACTAAGTCTTGTTGTTCATATGAGATTGTTTGCCGCTGTCAGCAGGAGCTGACTGTGTCTTGAGTGAATAGTGGGACCCAATTGCAGACACGGAAGGAGACGGAACTGCGTTTCAAATAAAAGATGAGCCGTTTATTCAGGCTGATTAAACATGAGTACAAAAATAAAGCAAAAAGCGAACAGGGGCGAAAACTAAAGTAAAACCTAAACTGGGGAAATTAAACTGTGGTAACTATAATTCAACTATAATAACTATGACAACAGATATGAACATGATTCTGACCAGGAACGTGCGAGAAACTGTGATGAGAAAAAACCCCAAAACAAAACACAAGGACACAACCTGAGCAGAATCATGAAGTACACAGAACTTCGATGTGACGTGATGGGAGCAAACACAGACAACCTGACAAACACTGAATGAAAACACACACACTAAATACACACAGGGGGTGTTAAGGGGAAGTGGAAACACATGAGGAAACAGCTGACACAAATTAACATAACAACGTCACAGGGATAGAGTAAAACTAAACACATTGAACAAAGAAACACAAGACTTTCAAAATAAAACAGGAAACATGGAGAGACTTAGATATGACAACACAGGCTTGACAACATGAGACACGTGGACAAGAAACACATGACATATTGACACAGAAGACAAGAGTAGACTGGAAACCTAAACTAGAATAAGACTAAGAAGAATAAGAAATCAAAAATACAAAATAAACTGAAAATGCTCGGTCACAGACCCAGCACCTGACGTTGTTTCTACTTTTAAGACTTGCTAAGGAACAGATAATTGTTTTGAATAACTGTGTACTAGTTTTCATGGTTTTTAAATGCCTTAAAGCTTCAAACTGATCTTGTAAATGGCTAAATGGTTGTTTGAAACTGACCAATTTTATGTTTAGAGTGTTATATATTTTCTTTAGTAATGAAGTCGAGATGTGAAATCCTGACTTTTCTTAATGTTTACTGTGTCTGTTTTTGGTCTTACAGTCACATTCTCTTTCCACAGGGCGGTGTGGTGCTGGTCCACTGTAACGCTGGCGTGTCCCGCTCTTCCTCCATCGTGATTGGGTATCTGATGCTGAGGGAGGAGCTTTCATTTGATGATGCATACAGCCAGGTTAAGCTGGCGAGGCCATCGATTCGCCCAAACCCCGGCTTTTATCAGCAGTTACAGAAATACAAATCCTAAGGGTCTAAAAGTCTGTTTTTTGCTTTTAAAACTGTGTGACAAAATCAAAATTATAACTGGAGCACTAATGGGAAGTCTTTGCCCTGTGATAACATCACAAACATTTTTATGTGGGAACTATTTTCTTTCTACTCAATTACACTCGCCAACCATTTCCCTTTCCAGGAGATAGTTTTCAGCTACTTCTAATGACGCTCATGCTTGTGACAGGGTGACGGGTGTCCTACTGTGTTAGCTAGCTGCATGCTTGTTTAGGTTGGCAGATGTAGAAAGCAAAAACAAGATAGTTCCTTTATAAAATGACATGGCCTGCCTAACCAGGCCAATATTTCTGGAACGAGACATCGCCTCTGAGTGTTTTAAGTCTTCATTAAAACACCATATGGCAACTGCCATTTAATTCCATTATAGTAAGAAACAGCAGACATTTCTGTAGTCAGTATCTCCCAAACTGTTTGACTCACACTAAAACAGTCTGAAAAGACAAATATGTCTACAGGGCAGAGGAAGAACATGAGCATTTGATTTTACATGCGGCTCCCCTTGAAACATTGCAGTTTTGATTTTTATGTAAATGAATCTGCCAATAAGTAATAAACATTTGCATGCCTAGTGCTAGTAAGTGTGTTATTTTTAAACTTCAGCATTGTCTCTTTGTAATACAGTTGAAAAAATATGGTTAAAGCGCTACTGGGAAATTGACTTACTATTTGATTTGTTAATGTTAGACACAGCTATTTGCTTTGCAGTATAGATTGTCTTCTAATTAAAGACGCACCGGTTTTCCTGAGGTACTACTTGATACCTTTCTCAACTACACAAACAAGTACACCATCAATTATAATGATTGCCCTCACTGCAGCGTTGTCTCTATCAATTTCACAACTTTGCAAAGTTGATGTGCTAACCCCGCTCTCCTGAAATAATTAGCTTGTAATTAGCTTGTTAGATAATGAGGGAGAATCCAGTTGGCTCGCATGCTAATCGACAAATACCGCTGGGGTGAGCTCCTAACACTGCAAACACACAGCACACAAAAGTATTATATCCTAATGTTCACCATTTGAATGGATATAAAGGCTACAGGCCAGATGTGTGTTTGTTGTTCAGCTGGCTGAGAACGTTTACAACGGATTATTGTTACATATTCATGTCCAGAGTGTTGAAATTACCTCAGTGTAGTTTAAATATAATGTAATATTTGTAAGACAACTTAATCAGCAATGTTAGGGAGTTCAAACTAACACAAAAGCAAGTGAATATGCCCCTATAACTGCTTTATTTCCTTCACTATCTCACAGATTTCTCTAGTTTTAAAAAGTAATTTTTAAGGCTAGACTATTAGCTCAGAGCACTGAGGCAGATTGAGTTCTAAGGATGGTAATCTCAATGTCTCGGTCCACCGCTGCGGTCCAGAATGAAGTATCTGAATGGGTATTGGATGGATGGGAGCGAGACTGCACCCAAAGGAGGAATCCTAATTACCTGAATGCTTGCTTGGCTTTTTCCTCTAGCGTTGCACTGAGGATTGCATTTATGGTTTAGCATAAAATGTTGACAACTGTTAAGAGTTACCATTATATTCTCTTAACTTTTAATTCAGCATCATCATCAGGTTACGGTGTGTAAGAGTAAGGTATCATTTGTTGATCCCTGCGGGGAAACTCATTTACTGCATTTAACCGTATTATATTAGCAGCAGTGGGCAGCCATTGTACAGTTTCTGAGGACATAATCCAGCTGTAAGTCAGTGTTTTAATCAAGTGCACAGTGACAGGACCTAATGTAGCATGTTTTTCATAGTGAAGCTCAGAGCTCACAGGGAAAACCTGCACAAGCACAGGGAGAAGATACCAACTCCAAACAAAAGTGCTCCAAGTAGAGTTTGTGCAGACTCATGATCCTGTAACACTTCCTCAGCAGACTGATTAATGTCTACTGGAGGGGTTAAAGGCTTCTTTTTATTTATTGTTATTGTTAAGTTAGGGGTGGTTAGAGGTGCGCAGACGGATCCAAATATCGAACGTATCAATAACATTGCTGGTTTTGGTATCACATGAATATAAGCGCTATAGGATTGATGTGTTTGTGATGATGTTTAGAATCTTATTTGCTATTTTTAGTTCTTAATAAATAAAACAAAATGTTCAATTTGTTAACAATGTACACAGTTAGAATCAAAAAGGGAGATAAACCAGGGTATGCTAACAATGTGATTGACAAATCTGCTCCCAAACCATCAAGATGCTCATCAAGTCTTTTTTAGACTACAATGGGTAATCTAATGTGACCATAACCATCCTTTATATACAGTCTATCAGTGTGTTAACAATGATAGGTTGTGTAATGGCTCTATCATCATACAATTTTAATTTTAAACTTGGTTATGAAACTGTCTGTGTGCAGATGAGCATTTTAGCAGCACATTAAAGTCACCGTTTATTTACCTAAATTGAGCATGGGCTTGCTGGTATACAGAGGACGCAGGAGATTGCTTGCTTATTTGCAGATTCACAGGATATAGTGGATGAGTGAAGGACATGAAATGACTGTTAAGTCCTAATATGGACGTGAACCTTCGTGTCTGCGTCAGCATTTTCAGAAGTCTGTTCCTCCCTGTGCACACCTCAGCACTACAGAGTCTCTGAATACATTTACAATGAAACTTTTCCAAAATATAATTTTTACTGAGCTGAAATTGTGTTTGTGCTTTGAAAAAGGGGACAAATCATATATATATGAAAAACTGGATAAAGCCTCACAGAGTCTCATGTCCCTGATGTACAATGAGTGCTCCAACTTTTCTGCATGAAATGAGCCATGTAAGTGTTTATCGGGGTTATATAGAAGGTTTTCCTCTTAAAATAAGTTTTCATGTCTGCGATTAGGAGATGGGTAGATTGGCACAAACACAAGCAGGTGGCTTAAGACAAATTATTTATTTTATTTAAACTCCGTCTTGTTGAGATTTATGGTTTAGTCTGGTCATAGTGACAGTTAGCTATCAACTGTATTCATGCTATATGATAATCATAGGCTGATAGGTATTATTTTAGTATACGTAAACAGAAACGTGTGTGCATGCACAAAATAAACAAACAAACAAAAATCAGAGTTTTGGTTGTGTAATTGATTCATAGTGTTTTCTATCAGTGCAGTGATCCAGAGGAAATGGAAGAGCTGGAACAAATTAAAATAGATTGTGGTTGCTGGTGGAAGACCTCCAAAACGATCTGCAGGAGGGAAAAAGATGCAATAAAATATGTATTAAACATTAGAAGTTTTTGTTTGTTGTTATCAGCAGTGCCATTTCAAACTTTGTCATTTTGACTGGAGTTTGATGGTGAAAATGTTCTTTTTTTTGATAAGAAAAAAAAGGTAAAATACATAATTTCTTGTGCTGTAATTAGGATCTAGCTTATTCAGTACTTTTTAGAAACTCTGTGTAGCAAGCATAAAAAACACAACTAGGTTTGCCAGTATTTTTCATCCTGACATGATTACCTCTTCAAAGGAGACATTTGCATTGGATTTTTGCTCTCATTAGAAAGTTTATTTGACCCTTTTCCGAGAACACAGCTTTTGTCAGTTGCAGGCCGCCGTCGCTCAGGGGAAGAGGAGGGGTCGAGGTTGGTTCTGTGCCAGAGACTTGGAGGAGGAGATAAGTTCTGCCAAATTGGTTGCAATTCCTACTGGTCCTATAAAGGTCATAGATTATTTAACACCCCTTTAAAGCCGTGGACTGATTGGAAAGAGCGAGCCCCTGTCACAGTTAATAACTAAATGTTTGGTTCTTATGGCTTTGTTGTTCCCAATAAATCCACACATCTGTCCAATAAATACACCAGTCTGCTTTTTATAATCTCAAGCTGAAAAGCAGGAGAATAAGATATTGAACCAATGCCTGACTAATGGCAACAGTGCCAATATACAGTCTGTGACAGTACTTGAGTGTAGGGCAGTTTGGCCTTTTCTTTGGTGTTGTTCAATGGTGTATCACTGAGGAGTATCAGCTATGAAGCCAACTGGGTTTCCCCTGACATTTTTGTGACATTTTACCGTCTGGATGTGGCGGCACACAGTATGGCACAAGCTGTCCCATCTGCGGGGTCTCATGGGGTCCAACCACCATCTCAGTCTGTGCAGGCCTAAATATGAGAATATTAACAGCCAGGCAGAGGTAGCTTTCACGCAGGATGTGGAATAATTTCCCCTGAAGCAGTACAATGTTATCAGGCCTGCAGGCTTTCATTAGATTTGATGAAGTGCAGAAGTGAACAATGGTGAATCCTGGTTTGCTTTTTCCTCTTTGGTTTCCACGTGCGTCCATCGCATCCACGAAAAACAAATTCAGTCATAAACAAGCCATAATCAGGGCAGGAAATTCTAATTACTATTTATTATTTATAAGAAAGTAATCATGCATATAAGCTCTGCTGCAACTGTTCCATCTGCATTTATTTATCACATGTAAATCATATACAGTATGTAAATATTTAACCTACTTAACTAGATGCAGTGTTTATTATCGTTTAGGAAATCCCTTTCTTCTTTTCTATGCTAACCTCGAAAGCTCTGGATTGGATCTTTGTGTCTGTGTCCTGTACTCCCATTCTATCCTGTGCCGTGCCCCAGGGTTCTGTCCTGGGGCCCATCTTCTTTGGTTTATATCTGCTTCCACCTAGACCAACCATGAAGACAATTTTATACCAGAGATGATATCCTGTTGTACATTTCATGCAAATGTAGCCCAATCTGTTTTTCAGGACTACATTAATGTTATAAAGAAGTGAATTATTGTCACTAAATACACAAAAAAACATTCTCATTTATCCCCCTGATGATTTGTCCCCATGGTGGTCGGAATTTTGAACTATCACTTCTTTCAGTCTCCCAGCAGTCAGGAGTCTGGGTGTTAGATGTGATCAGGCATTCAATTTTGATAAACCTGCTGATTCTTGTTAGATCTTGTTTTTATAATCTGTGGATCTCTGACTGACGTAAATATATAGTGTTTCAACCTGAAATGGAAATTATGGTGCATGCTTTTATTCACAAGATCCTAAAATCTCTCAAGTGACACCCAGCTTGTTGTCTTTGCTCTGGATCCCCATAAAGTTCAGAGTTCAAGTCAAAAGTTTGGTGATTACTATAAATTGATTACTAATAGTCAAATCCTTCCCTATTTTATTTACCTTTTACTTACACTAACAGAACTACTGGTCTGCTGCTTGTTGGTGGTACCTCCATCGAGCCTAAGGACTGTAGGAGACATTGTGTCTACATTATGGAACTTACTTTCACTGGACTTAAGATCTGTGGATATTGTTGATACTTTTACTTTTAAAAGCTTAAGACCCATCTGTGTAAGCTTGGTTTGCCCAAGTACTTGTACTCCTCTGCCACATTAATGGGTCATGTAGCCATCGTTTTCCTTCTGAAGTCAATCACCATCTTTCTGGCCTTAATTACATTCATAAGGAGAAGATTTCTGCCTCCCAGACCACTCCATAAAATCATCCACTGGTGCTCTGTACGCCTCCTCTTGCACATCACTCATCCGGTAACTGTAGAATCAGGTGCTCGTCAGAGTGACTCACAGATCAGGATGTGATAGA